CAAGGCCGACCATCCCAGCCACACTCCCCTGTCAGCATTCACAGACCACAGTAAGAACAGACCCAGTTCGTCACACCCCCCCAGTACTGAGCCCCTCTCCCCCCACCGTACCGAGCTCCCCCGAGCTGTTGCAGAGGTTCCTCTGCCCCTGGCAGGTTCGGCTGTCCCCATGGGTGGTGTTGAGGTCCCAGGCCATGCTCCCTCCAGGGCACTCCAGGGCACGCGGCAGGGATCTGGACAAGAGACAGTCAGAGGAGCAGGGCTGCTCTGAGCGGTGGGGAGGTCCCTATTGCCCCACACCGGAGACCCCACCGGCTTCCCAGGAACCAGCAGCTAAGCTCCACACGGAGCCCCGTGTGTGTGTGTGGGGAGAGTCAGCCCCCCATCCGCCCCCGCACCCAGGGGCCCCTGAGCCCCTTCCCCCCACTCTCCCTGTTGAGCCCCTGCCCCACTGAGCCCCTATCCCTGCCCCCCTCTTCCTCCCAGCAGGACAGCGCCGGTGCCCTCCCTGTCCCCAGGGCTGCCGGCCCCGCCCAGCCCGGCACTCACAGGCTCTGCAACCTGGTGAAGCCCTGGAAGGAGATGTTGCTGATGTTCTCCAGGGGGTTCTCGGTCAGGTCACTGCAAACAGACGGATCCCGCGGCATTAACCCTCCGTTCCCAGGGCCTGCCCAGCACCCTGGGAAAACAGTGCACACCCAGGTCTTCCCCCGGCCTGGGCCGAGCGCTCTCCCTGGGCTGGGGCTCCCCTCCCCGGCCTGGGCCCAGTGCTCTCCCTGGGCTGGGGCTGCCCCCCCTCCCCTCCCCAGGCAGGGCCCCAGGAGACCTGGCTCTGTCCCCACCCTGTTGAGAGACCTCGGGCGAGTCTCTGCCCCGCCTGGGTCTGTCTTGTCCCCCCTCCCACCCCGCCTGGTCCAGTCAGACTGGGACCGTCCATCCCAGGGGGAGAAGCGCCTGGCACGACGGGACCCTCTAGGGCAAGGGGTGAGGCCGGAACAAGGGCTGGGCGAGCAGGTGCACCAGCCACCTCCCACTCCAGGAGAGGATCCCCCAGGATTTCCCTGCCCTCACTCCTGGAGGATGGGGGGGAGGGGAGGAAGGGGGCACTGCAGGGACTTGCCATGGTTAATGGAGGGGGAGGTAGCGTAACACCCCCCCAGAGAGCGCCAGCCCGGCGCAGCTCCCACACGGGGGAGCACAGAGACGGGCATATGGACTTCAGAGCAGCCAGCTGGGCAGGAGGGAGGGGAGGCCGGAGCGGGAGTCAGACACAAAGCTCTTCCCCCAGCAGAGGGGGGCCCGGCTGGGGGAGCCCCGAGGAGGGGCTGGGAGCGTTGCTGCTCCCCGGCAGGGACTGTCCCTCCCAGGGAGCGCGGAACAAGCTCAGGCTTGTGCTGAGAGGGGAAGGTCCAGCCCCCCCCGCCCGCCCTTCTCCAGCAGTCAGTGGGGGACGGGGAATGCAGCAGGCCCCGAGCCAGAGCACCACAGGGGGTCTGGGGCTTGCACCCAGCCTGTCCCCGGCAAGGAGCTCCCTCCTCACCCCTCGCTCTAGACCTCGAATTCCCAGGCCCCCCTACAGCGCATCCCCCCCCCCCCCCCGTGGGGTGGTTGGACTCACATGACAACAGCAGTGCTGGCATCCGGGAACCCAGCACCGAGGAACGTCAGTGAGCAGTTGCCCAGATCCAGCCTGGGAAGAGTAGAACAGTCAGAGGTACTGGGAGCCCCAATGCACCCCCCCAAATGCTATCCCCTCCCCCATCCCTTCCTTCTCCCACCTGCCCTGCACACGACTCCATACACCCCCCACCCCACTTCCTTCTCTATGCACCCCAAGGCCTCCATCCCCCCCTGCACACAACTCCATACCCCCCACCCCCTTCCTTCTCCACGCACCCCCAGGCCTCCATCTCCCCCCTGCACATGACTCCATACACCCCCCACCCCCCTTCCTTCTCTATGCACCCCAAGGCCTCCATCCCCCCTGCACACGACTCCACACCCCCCACCCCCACGTCCCTTCCTTCTCCATGCACCCCCAGGCCTCCATCTCCCCTGCACACGACTCCACAGCCCCCACCCCCACGTCCCTTCCTTCTCCATCCCCCCATCCCCAGGCCTCCATCTCCCCCCTGCACACGACTCCATACACACCCCCAACCCCACGTCCCTTCCTTCTCCATCCCCCCACCCCCACATTTCCCCCATCCATATCCTTGTCCTAGGCAGGCACAAGGCTGGAGGGTCTGAGCTGGGCTCCGGGGGCCAGGCTGGCTCCATGGAGGGCTCTGCTGCCGTTCACACTGGGGGGTGGGGGGCACCTACTGCCAACAGCGGTTCCAGGCTCTCCCCGCCTGCACTTGGCTCTTCCGGGATGCAGGGGCCCAGGGGGTGTCACCTCTGGGGGGCTCCCTGCCCCCTGGAGACTCAGCAGAGGTAGAGGTGAGGCACCCCCCTGCCCAAGGCTGGCTCTCCCCTACCTATCCCACAACCAGCTGCCCCTCAGCCTGGCTGCAGAGACCCACTGGGGCCCTGGCGCTGCCAAGGCCCAGAAGGGAACCTCTGGGGGCAGCCGTCCAGGCTGCCCCATTGTTGGCTGCTCACGCGGGGCTGGGCGTGCCCGGGGCTGGCTGCCCTGCCAGGGTCTAGGCCCAGCCCTGCGCCCCCCTGCCCGGTCAGCGCCCCACACCACGCGGGCGGTGGGGAGGGGGGCTGGCCCCACTCGCTCACTCACCCCACGATGACGGGCTCCGGCTCCCCGCTGAGGCAGCAGCGCCCCTGCAGCGCCAAGGCCGGGCGCGACGCGCAGTAACGGGCCACGCTGGAGCCGCTCCGCACCGGGCCCGGGCAGCAGCTGCACACCTGGGGGGGGGGGGGGGGGGGGGGGGGGGCGGGGGGGGGCCGGCCCCCCACCCCTCCCCCCCCCCGCGGTGCCCGGCCCCGCCCCGGGACACCCCCCCCCGCCACCCGGCCCCGCTCCGGGACACACCCCCGCGGTGCCCGGCCCCGCTCGGGGACCCCTCCCGGGATCCGCTCGGACCGATCCCAGCCCGCACCTGTCTGAGCACAGCCCGGCCCTGCGCAGCGTCCGGTCAGAGCGCGGTGCCCCCAGCACCACCGGACCGGACCGCGCCGACCGGGCATCACCGGACCGACCCCCCGCCCCGGCAGCGTCCGGTCAGAGCGCGGTGCCCCCGGCACCACCGGACCGGACCGACCCCGCCAACCCCCCGCCCCGGCAGCGTCCGGTCAGGCACCCGGCACCCCCGGACCGGGCAGGACCGGACCGGACCCCCGGACCGCCCCGCTCTCACCGCGCTCCGCCCGGCCGCGCCGCCCCGCCAGGCCGCCAGCCCGAGCAGCAGCCGCAGGAGCCAGGCGCGGGGCCCGGGCCCGCTCGCCACCGGCCGCCCCATCTCCCGTCCGGCAGCCCCACGTGACGCGGGCGCGAGTCATGTGACGTGGGCCGCAGCTCTGGCGTCACATGATCGCAGCCGGCAGGTCACGTGACAGCTCCCGCCGGGCCCCAAACAAGCCAGCCCCGCCCCCAGACCCTGAGCCCATGGCCCCGCCCCGCATGGCCCCGCCCCCGCCTCCGCCTGGGGGCGGGGTCTCGCCACGTGACCCTTCCGCAGCCCCAAGAGCCCCCCCCCCTTCTGACCCCCCCCCCCCACCCCCCCCCCCCCTCTGCCCCCCCCCCGCACCCCAGCCCCTCCCCAGTGACCCCCACTCAGAGCCCCTCCCTGTAACCTCCCAGCCCTGTCCTCCCAAGCATGAACCCGCGAGCCCCTCTCTTCCCATGTGACCCCCCTGCCCAGATTCCCGCACCCCTCTATCACCCCCCGCACCCTAGCCCCTCCCCAGTGACCCCCACTCAGAGCCCCTCCCTGAACCCCCCTGCCCTGCCCTCCCAAGCATGAACCCGCGAGCCCCTCCCTTCCCATGTGACCCCCCTGCCCAGAGCCCCGCCCCCTCTGTGACCCCCCCGCACCCCAGCCCCTCCCCAGTGACCCCCCACTCAGAGCTCCTCCCTGTAACCCCGAGCTCCCCTGCCCTGCCCAGAGCCCTGCCCTCCCAAGCATGAACCCGCAAGCCCCTCCCTTACCATGTGACCCCCCTGCCCAGAGCCCCATTCCCCTAAGTGTGACCCCCCAGAGCCCCTCCCTCCCCGTGTGATCCCCATGACAGTCTATACCATTATCTTTACCACTTTTACAAGACTATGATAAATTTAGTACAAAATATGCCTTGTGAGGTATCCTTAGGAAACTCATAATCCGCTGAACAATATTGTCCTGGTAAAATGTTTATATCCACATTGTATGTAACAGGTACAAGATTCTCCTGTATAACGTTGCTGTAACATACTCCAGAGTTAGAAAGGCAGGTCCAAACTAGACAACTCAGAGACACAGACACACTTGCACCCCAGCCAGGTGTTAATGGACCATCACCTGCTTAAAGGGCCTTTCTCAGGCAGGGGGAAGGTGTGAACAAGACAGTTACATTTCATCACAAGGAGGGTTCAAACCTCACATCCGCAAGAGACTGTTTGTTACCATGACTCAGCAAGGATGTTTCCAGCACAAGAAATTGAACGATAACGCGGGAGGAAAACGCTTGACCTCACACTCCTCCTTCGTCGCTGCTCATGACATCAACGACTCTCAAAGAGTTGAAGTTGGAGAGCGGGGGAGTCCTGGCTGGAGGCTTTTCAGCCAGTATAGACGACTGTCCGCTTCTGCTGAGAAACCTTTTGCTGTGTACCTGGGAGTAAGATAGGTGCTGGAGGCTGGGTGATAACTGGCCAGGAGTGGCGGTTCCCCAGCAAAGCTGTGTAAAAGGCACCCCAGGTTGGAGAACCGAGGAGATACCGCTGTTCACAGTGCAGACTGTACCCGGGCAATGTCACCCCCCCATGCCCAGAGCCCTGCTCTCCCAAGTGACCCCCAGAGTCCCTCCCTCCCCATGTGACCCCCAAGCCCCTCCCTCCCCATGTGACCCCCCAACTCCAGAACTCTGCTCCCCAGAGCATGACCACCCAGAGCCCTCCCTCCCAGTGTGACCCCCCACCCCAGAGCACCACCCTACCCATGTGACCCCCCTGAGTGCCACCTCCCTGTATGATCCCCCCATGCCAGAGCACCGCCTTCCTGAGTGAGAACCCCCTACCCCAGAGCAGGAGCGCTGCCCTCCCCATGTGTGATCCCCCCATCACAATTCACAAGGTCGGTGGCTACGCCCCAGCTCTAGAACAGTCTCTGGGAGGGGCCTTCAGTGACCAAGGCCCCCCGGGGTCTCACTCTTCCCCCAGGGTGAGCCACGCGGCCTCCCCGCCTCCTGAGACTGGGCCCCTGGGGCTGCAGCCCCCCTGCCCCACCCCAGGAGCTCCGGGCAGCAAGTCTGGGACAGACCCTGGGGGAGACGTGTACAATCTGGGGGAGCCGCACCCCCCCCCCCCAGCGTCTGCGGGGACACCCAGCCAGCGCGGGCAGACAGGCGGGTGTATCCATGGCCTGGCACACGGCACAGGCAGCCCTGGGGTAGCCCAGAGAAAAGAAAGTTACAGCAGAGTCCGTTCTGGTCAGCACAGAGCCCTGTCCCTCTGACCCCTCTTTGTCGGCCCCCAATAAGCCCGCAGCAACCAACTCTTAGCCACCCCCCTCACCATCACTCCCCAGTGTTTTTTCCCCAGCCGGGCAAACACAGCACCTTAAACTGGGGCAACAATTTGGTTCCCTGCGGAATTGGCATCCTGGGGTCTTTCCCCATTTACCCCTCTGGGGGGCCACTTGCCCCTCGGCTTCTCCAGCTGCAGGTCCTGCTTTCACTGCTTCTGGCCCGCCCGTTCCCTCTCACAGTCTGCTAGTCTCTGTGGCTGGAGCTCCAATTCCCAGCGCTTCAAATCCCAGTCACTGGTACAAGTGACCCTGCTCAGGTCAGTCTGGAAGCAGGAAGAGATGTGACAAAGTTTATAATATTTCTATGAAGCCGATGTGTGCCTCAGTTTCCCTGGTATGCGCCATTGTTACTGGGGGGGGGGAGTCTGCTTTCGGCAGAGGCTCAGAGGCACAGGTGTGAATGGTGTCTAGCTGTCTGGGGCCTTAGGTCCCATCTCAGGGGAGGATCTGAGAAGACAATGACAGATCCAATCACCGGGACTTTGATATCTCTGGGTTTCCTAAGGAGAGGTGGGGAAGTCCCTATGCCTCTGGGCCCTTGGTTGCTAGGTATCAAAGTCCCGGTGACTGGCCTTGTCCTTGGCCTCTGTGGGTCTAGGCACACACATGCTTCATACAAACATGACGAAAAATTCTCACGGGTCACATCTCTCCCGACTTTGAGACCGAACAGAGCAGGGACCTGGCTGAAGCAGCGGGAATTGGAGCTGGATGGGGAACTAGGTCTTGAGGCCCCGGCTGGTCTTTCTGCCCCTGCTTCTGTCACTCTCCGAGCCTCTTGGAGCCCTGCTTGGTTCTACGACCGATCGTCTTTCTCCAGCCATGCAACCAGCTGCCCCTTGTTGAGCTTCCCCACACGTAACGTCTCTCCCTGCACGGGCTTGCGATGTCCCTCTCAGGGAGACGGTTTTCTTGCTGTTTCCTTTAACAACCCTTGTTTTACTGCCGTACGTCACTTCCTGCAAAGTACTTCTTGTGCATTCAGCATCCCACCTCTGCCACCACCTGTGTATTAGCCTGCTCAGAGAGCAAACACACCTTCCCCCCCACTAGGTAACAATGGCGCTTAGAGGGGAAACTGAGGCACACATAGGCTTCATACAAATATTACAAAAATATTCCT